TTTAGTTTATATCTAAATTTCTTAACTTTCTTATTGGAATGTCCTTGCGTGGCATTCGGATTTTGTCTCTCGCCGGAGTTTGTCCCCAAGAAATTAGATTGCTGTGGAGCACCGGATTGGTAGAAAAAGCTGCTTAGCTGCACGCCATTGTCTGGAGCCGGGGAGTGCTAACCCGCCTCTTACACCACGTGGGAACCGGAGTGAGAAGTTTCGGAGTTGGTTTGATTTCATGTCATTCGGACTGGTCCAAGGTCATTGTTTTGTGGTATGTAGATTTGTTATATATTTTTCTTGGCGACGTGGCATTGAACACTGCAGGTCCCCAAGGGGTGTTATTTTTCATTAGAGAGTAGGTCAATGCTATGTCTACCTTTAGAGTTTATTGTTTTGTCTATTTAGTCTTTATGTGACTCTTTAAAATTTGTTTAACCTTATATTTTTCTTATTGGAAAGGATTGCATTAATGACAGTACTAATTTGTGTATAAGAATTACCTAATGTAATTAGAGACATAAGACACATTGTACTCTACAGACACTACGGGATAATAAACAGCCATTAGAACTTAACATCTTGTATTCTTTAGCTGTCCTCCCGCTTTGTTTTAAAAAGGTTCGGTGCTGGCTGAGATGTCCGAGGTATTTGTTGTGTTTGTGGTGGGTTCTGTGTTCTTTTAAGGTGGTATCTGGCGCCCGAGACTTTTATTTTGTTATTTTGTTTCTATTTGATGCCACCAATTTTAGTTTTATTTCTTTTTAACAAACCCCACAACATTAATTTAAATTTTAATTTTTTATTATTACAACACTTGTATACAATTGCACAGCGCAAGACATTTATTATTTTAATCTCATAACACTTACCATAAAAGGTCCAGCACTTTGACACTCTGGACAGCTACCAGGTTTGACCTCAGAATTCTGGGACTGAACAAACGGTCCCAGTATGTACCCACACCTGTTACAGTCGTATTTGACCACCGACAACTGCGGTAAGACCCCAGTTGTTGCAGTTATAACGCCAACAGTCCTCACTAACTGGTTCAGGTGGAGCTTCCGGAATGTTCTTAATTCCTCTATTAGAGGCAGATCGGAAATGCGGACGTGAATTTCCGAAGTTACTCGCTCGTAACTAGGAAAGATTTGAAGGACTATGTCTTTTGCGACCTGGAAATTGTAGATTAGAGTACACTTAAAATCTTAAAAAAAAATGTGTCACTTTTACACGGCAATATTTCACCTCTACAGCACGCAGTAGTCACTGCTCAGTAGAGTACTGCGCGCAGCCTGTAGTAGTAGATATTACTTAATACATACTAAAAAAAAGTCCAACAACATAAGGGACAACTTTTGGAGCCCCATAAAGACTGACAACAGTCCATCTACAGAACTTTGATATCGTCTAGTACTTGGGTTGTAGAGGTCTGATAACAGTCGCTCCACGTAAAAAGTCGGAAGTCGGAAGTTGTAGTAGACTGAAAGGCAACCCTAGGCTAGTTTGGGATAAAGGCTCGGAGAATTACTTTATTACATTATGGGAGACGCATGCCTCGGCACTCATGGGCTCCAACTGAGTGATACCACACAGCCTCACAGGCAACTAGTGTTTAAATAATTACATTCAATTTGTTTCTTTCCCTTGAGTAAGTGAGGCAACTGGAGCCCAATCACACTCCTCCTACAAATTCTGAGGGAGGGAGGACAGATTTTTATAACTCAATTGATATTACCATTAAAAACAATGTATTATATTAACAATTATTATTACTGATGATGTAATTGGAGCTTAGACAGCATCTCTAAGAGAAACTCTGATTGATGACTTCGACTTATTAACCGGCGCACTCTTACACTTTTTTTTAACTTGGTTTTAGTGTTAATTAGAAATTTCGTTAATTTCTTTTTAATATTACTGTTGTTATGATAGTTGTGAATAGTAACAAACCTCATCGAATATTTGTAACATTTGGAAAGGCGCTTCGGGTAAGAAGTAAGCGAGGACTTGTTCACGTCGCGCCAACACGTCGAATTCCACGTGGAAAGAAGCTTGATTGTGTTCACACATACGACGAATGCGCTCTTTGTATACGAACTGGCCTTTGCTATTTGTATACGTGCGGAGGAAATTTTTGAACCTGTGGGACGGAAAGTAAGTTTGGTAAAACTACAAAAACACGCTTTAATAGTCAATCAAAGAATACCGCTATACATCTCCTAGCTCATTATTAGACTTCCCAAATCATATTTGTTAGACGCGTAAAAACAACAGATTAAATTAGAAAAAAAGAAAAATATTTGTGTATGGAAGTTGACAGATATAAGAGTAGAGGATGACCAAAGAAAAGATAGATGAACTGCGTAAATGGGGATATGGCTAGAAGTGAGTGAGCAGTTAACTGACGAGTGATAGAGGACATAGAAGAAAACAAAAATTAAGCTGACCAATTTTTTTCTATGGAAGAGGGGGCAAACGAGCAGACGGGTCACCTGATGGAAAGTGACTACCGGCGCCCATGAACGCTTACAACAGGAGTCACAAGCGCGTCGCCGGCCATTGAGGAAGAAATACGCTCTTTACTTGAATTTCGTATCAGTATCGGCATTTAGGAAAAAGGCAATATAATAGTAATAATAAATGGAATAACAAGACTACAAACCTATTTGCAATCTCAGTCCTAGGTCCCAACATGGATACCCATTCCTTGGTTGTGTATCCTTTAGTGTCCTCTAAGTTCTCTATGCTCTCAATACCTTCCTCCACTTGTTCCTCTGTACCCATAGCGGCTTTCTCTGCAGCGCGGCGCCGTTTGGCTCGAGGGGCACCTGTGCTCTCTTCATCGGATTCATCTGTTGAGAAGATTTTATAAATATTTAATGACTGTTAAGCATGGGACTAGGAACTAAAAATGTTTTTCATATTTAATTAGGAATCAAATAATTGTGTGAAGGACACGATTTGTGTTTAAGTCTAATTTATCTCTTTTGACTTATGACAAAATATAATGCACACCCATTTATTATTATTTATTCTTTCTTAGTTAGAATATCATAGAAATATATCGAAACCATATAATCATTTTGGTTTACAAATATTTGCCTTATAAATTTATTATGGTGAAATACGAGTGACACCTTCCATCAAAGTACTTACGGTGAGCATTTCTTGTTCTTCGTCATCTTATTTATTGCGTTATACATATTAGAGAATACACTCACATAAAATATCTCAATTTTTAACTAACAGAAAATTAAATTGATGAAGAATGGAAGTAGATATTATTAATAAAAAAGAAAGACCCCTATTAAATTAATCGGAAGTGTAGTAGTGTACGGTCGTCGTTAAGTACGAGAAATCACTGGGCGAATGTTATTACTTACCCTCGCCCTACTTCATACCACCAAAGAGACCCAAAAATCGTGATCTGCGCAAATGTCCACAAGCCTCAAACACTTGGATGCCTTCTCCTCCTCTAGTACCTACTGCTCAACTAAACTTCTCAACATAAAAACAATTATTTCGAAAGATACGATATAGCTATACAAATAACCTATTTTTACAGAGTGGTTAGCAAGTAGTGAAAAATATTATATCATACCATATAACAAATCTCGGTCATCTCTCCTGATCCTGCCTTCTTCTCTGTCACGTCTCCGTAGCTCTTGTTCAGCTGCCACACGGTCCTGGATTGACATTGCGTCATAGTTCTCGTCATCTAGGTCCTCGGCATCATAACGATCCAATGCCGGCATTGGACGGTAATCCCTGATGTGAAAATAAATTTATCAATGGAATGACAGACAGACGAGATCTTTGTATGACTTTAAAGTGGTGAAGTAATTAAATTTAATTTTGGATGTGTTACCATTAAAAATTCACAATACACACATACATATAATATTATGCACATATTATGTACATATTTGTATAATTGACTACAGAAAATGCACTTGCATGATTATCAGGACACAAGATTTTATTTATTTATATACTAACGCCTCCATATTATCATTGAACAGCTCTTCTCCATCATCTTCCTCTTCTTCGGGGTTGTCACCGAGAATGGCACTTTCATCTTCAAACATTTCATAATCTCGGGCTGGTGAAGTCATACGTGATCGAGCTCCATCTCGCTCTGATGGGGTGTCAGGTGCTGGAGAACTCTATAAGAATTGAAATAATTTTATTAATAAAAGTTTACTGGTACTGTTATTATTATGGCACAGAGATAGTTTATAGTACGAAATAGCACATGGGCTGTTATTTATCAATGACAATTTTTTTCTTTCTTGTTAAAAAGACAACTTCCGCATTATGAATATATTATATCTAGTGCCGCGGGAGACTTTACAAACATACATGAAACGGACACAAAGAACATCCAGACTCAGAACAACAATTTGTGGATCGCACAAAGTGTCGTCCCTTGTGGAGTTTGAACCCACAACACTCGGCGTAGTAGGAAGCTCCGAGGCGACCGCTTAAATCACTACGCCATCCGTGCAGTCGTTTGTCAATTGATTGACAAATGACATTACGAAAATGAAGCTGTAGATAAAATCATCATACTGCTGCATTGTAGTACTACTACTGTAGTTGCATCATACTACAGTAGATTAAAATTTGTAATCACAGCAAAAAAGGGACATACAAAACCCCTCGAATACAAAGTAGGGTTGTTCCAAGGTTATTGCTTATCACTGTATAGCAATATACGAAAAGAGGTGGGGCTAGCGGTTTAAGGCCAATGGATAATATACGGAATCCATCTTAGCATTCGCAGACGACCTTGCGATCCTCACACGTAATCCGAAGCAGGGCCAAGAACTACTGCGTAAGATAGATGACTTCTGTACCTGGACTGAGGGAATAAGGACAAAACCTAGCAAATGCTATTGCCTTTGTCTGGACCGGCGAGGTATTACATATCCCTCATATGACCCCGGCATTACTATTGGTGGGGAAAGTGTTTCAATAATATCAGAAACCGTGCCCTTTAAATTCCTTGGAAGAAAGATAACACTACATAGGTCGTACTCCATCTATGAACGCAATAGTCTATGACTTCGTAAGATTTTGACAAGGTAGAACAGCTTAATAAGTAATGCAAAAAAGGCTTGGATTTACGACAACTACTTAACATCACGTCTCAACTATCCGTTTCTGGTATACGATATAAACCAAAACTACTTAAGAACACAGGACGCGAAAGTACTTAAGACATTGAAGTCGTGGCTTGGTCTAGCACCATCTACAGACCAGTCAACGTTGTACAGGGGCTCGAATAACTTTGGAATGACATAAAAAAGATCTTCGGAACTCTACAAACACCTAAGAGTTACCAAAATAGATGTCTTGTCAAAATCACAAGACAAAATCGTTAGATCCCTTCCAATAGACAAAAATTCATTAGAGCTCGAGTCAAGACTCCATTCCCAGAGTAAGTCTTAGGAAATGTGAAAATGGAAGGCGCCACTTCTAGCTGTAAAGTCTGACTTGTAAAAATATCTGAAAAGATTTACTTGCAGAAATAAATATCATTTCATCATCATTTCATTTCATTTCTGAGTCCCAGGCAATGGGTGTACAAAAATTTACAATGATCTGTTAAAGGAGTTTTTTTTTTGCTGTCGAAGACTTTGATGTTCGTGGTAGCAAGATTTGAACAGGAAACCATCAAAGGTATTGTAATGTCACTTTGATCTTAAACAAATTATGATAGTGAGTTTGGGATTATATACAATTCCAAGCTTATTTAAATTTAAACTAACTGGTGCCTGCAACTTTCTGCTGCGCTGTCTTAGTGGGTTTGGTTCCTGGTCAGAGAAAAATTCTATCAACTCTAACTCAATATATATACAGCTACCCGGTAGTAAAGTGTTATCAAAATTGGTCCAGATGTTTTTAACATTACATGAAACAAATAGACAGACAAGGCATTGGTTTTTAGGCACAGGTATCATGCAAATAACTGTGTTAGCATGAAAAAACCTATTATTTTGACAAACAGACACTTCAATTTTATTTATTTGTATAAAAAAATGTTATGTCATCATGCTTCAAAGGTAATCTATTTTTTGCAACCACAATGTGTCACAGCAAATCATGGCAGGGTACAGCTGTTTATTTATTGACTGCCTCCGTGGTGCAGTGGTAGTGTATGCAACTGCTATGCTGAGCTCTTAGATTTGATTCCCAGGTCGGACCAAATGTTTGTATATGTATTAAAAAAAAGTATATAAGTATTCTATTAGCCAATCAAGCTTTCATAGTACAAGCTCTGCTAAATTTGAAACTAAATGGAGATGTCCGAAAATAAATTAACTAAAAAAAATAAAAAAAATATAGATTTCTAACTAAAGTAATTAGATTTTTATCATAAATAGAACCTTAATTAGATATAAGAGCTGTAGTTATAGTTAACCAGCTGCACTCCACAGTCTTACCCAAGGTTTATTATTATCAGTGTTTTTACCCAATATTATCAAAATTGGCCCAGCCGTCTGAGGATAATGAAGTAACAAACATAATAATAGTGTGATATAAAAGCAACAGCCATTACTTTACATGTTGCTTTTGCACAGGTTACATAAAGTTTCCAGAGGCAGCCAACATCCTTCTAGAGGAGCTACAGGTGGCATAAGTGTGGCTATATACTAGCACTAGCTGACCCGCGCAACTTCGTCTGCGTCTCTCAATAGTAATAAATTTTCTCCGTTTTTGAAACATTCTTCATTGGTGCTCCACTCCTATTGGTCTTAGCGTGATGATATATAGCCTATAGCCTTCCTCGATAAATGGGCTATCTAATACTGAAAGAATTTTTCAAATCGGACCAGTAGTTCCTGAGATTAGCGCATTCAAACAAACAAATAAACAAACTCTTCAGCTTTATAATATTAGTATAGATTTAACTGGTTACTGGTAATAACAGAGTCGAGAGAGAGAGAATAAAATTGTCATAGGTTTAAGTACCAGCTTTTGAAATTGTGAAACTATAGTATTTAAGTTTAGGGATTGATGCTTTATATGTAATAATAAGTAGATTTCTACATCTAGAACTTATGTAATCTTCAGAGGATAAAGGTTTAAAAATTAGAAAGTCTTGATATGGACAAAATTATTTTTGTTTAAATAAGCGAATTTTAAGGTTTTTAAGGATTAATAAAGTAAAGTTAATCTGTTTAGATATGGACAGAACAAAAGCAAGATGACTTAACATTGTATAACTAAAAATACAAGGATATGTAACCAAGTTGTCTATTTTCACAGAAACATTTTAAGGTTAGACATAAGTTCTAAAATAAGTTTTTACTAGTAGGGGTATATGCAACTAATTCCTATTAATACATGCATAAATATAAACGTTTCAAGATGTTGTTAATATTTTTAAACGAATTTATGCTCTCGGCTATAATGCCGCTAGACGTGCAAGCCATTTATCTCAAATTACATTTTAACGAAAATTAACATAACTAGATGAACATTTACTTGTTTTAAACTTACCATAGTTTATTAATTTCTACGGCCGCACACAATACAACACGTTTAACACAAGTAATATTACTTATTAGCAATTTCGAACCGTTGCTAAAAAAAACAAACAGGTTACAACTTTTTATCTATTAATGTCAAAAATACGCGCGAAATGGTAATTCAGTTGAATTCTTAAAATGACTCCTTTGTTGGAGCACTAATAATTTTGAAGATTTTATGATAGACGTAGGTTTTTTTTTATTTTTAGATCTCTAGTCATGTACGTAGTATGTTAAATATTAATTTATGTATTATACACACTTCGTTACCCTTTTTAATAATCATATTATAAGTCCTACATTTTGTTTGTTGCTTTTGATATGAAACATCTAATAACGCGTCGCCACGCCAATAGCCTGTCTGACCCTCATGAGTCATGACCGACTGTTAGTGTGGCGACGCGTTGTCATAGTATATGTGCGAGAGGAAACTTTCCGTAAGATTCACTAAGATATTGAGATAAGATGAAGATATTAAGATATATAAACAAATTATAATTATAATCAAAAAAATGATTTGCAGCATCCACTTTCATTGACAATAATTGTGCTCTGTGGGCACAATAATATTACTAGAAAAATTGACCGTAAGTCATATCTTGCGGAGACATCCGATAGTTAGTTACTTAGTTTAGTTTATTGTTCTTCCTTGAAGGTTTTACTAGTACATAGAAACGTTCTTACAATTTTAAGCGCAGATTGTAGTTATTTTTGTTTTGAACGCTTCTTAACCTCAAAGTAATACCTGAAGTGACATTTCACATTTATTTTACCTATTAGTTTTGTCGTTAGGTCAGTAGTTATTTATCAGTTTTAGTTATGAAAATATGGCTAAATACATCGCTCAGATCATAGTCCTTGGCGCCCAAGTGGTGGGTCGAGCATTCGCCCGGGCCTTGAAACAAGAAATAGCTGCTTCTCAAGAGGCAGCAAAAAGAGCTGGTGGAGGGCCTGAAGGGACCAGGAGAGCTGCAGCGAACGCATCTACAGGCCTCACTATAGAGGAGGCTATGCAAATTTTAAATATTGATAAATTAGATCCTGAGAAAATTAAAAACAATTATGAACACCTGTTTGCCGCGAACGATAAATCCAAAGGAGGATCATTTTATTTGCAGTCTAAAATTGTTAGAGCGAAGGAAAGAATAGATGTTGAATTTAAACAAGATAAAAATCCAACACAGGACGCACCAGGTCGACCTAAGGATACATCATGAAGTTTAGTTAATTTGGACTAGCTGTGTTATTTTCATTGTTATGTAGATATTGTTTTAGTAAAAATGAAAATGAAATTTGTAAAACATTTTATTGCGTAGAAAATGGATACCACAATAGTGACTAGAATACATCAGTCTTTATAACATACATTGTTGATTACACATTTAAAAATAAATATAAAAAGTCAATCCAATGTCATCAAAGCCATACTATAGATAATTATTGAATAAATGCTAAACATTAATTTCAGTGCTAATTTTCATCTGAGAAATGTTACATGATTTATAATCTAGCTATTGTACCTATTGTGCTTCAAAGGTACAGATTTGAAAAACATATTGTGCTTGTTATATGTAAATAATACATCAGATGAAAACAGTACTTGCTGATGGTTTTGGTGTAGAAGCACAAAAGTCAAGATCAAATTACTCTGTCATTACAACTTCCTGCTCCAGAATTACAATATATTAAATAATGTTCGGTCGTATCATTCTAACACCTGTGATTCTTATTAGATATGTAAAAATACTCTTCAAAATATACTTTAATACCATACTACTAAGACTTTTTTTTACACTAAAATATATGGATGCAAAACAAAATGGTAGTATATGACTAGAAATAATTGCATAAAATGGAATGACACAATGGAAGAAATTGAGCAAAATATTCAGATACATATATCATGTAACTACTGATTAAGAGATCTAACATCTATATACCAACACTTCTTGTTCCCATTCCATTAATTAAATATCACTTCTTAAATTTCCCATTCCAAATTATTATATTAAAATCTTACATTATACATATTGACAAGACCCACCTTGACTAAGACTTTACTAGCATCTTATTAGTTGCCTAATCTATTGTTGTCTATTAATCTATCATGCTTCTCTTTTTGTATCTTATAAGTTAAGGGCAAGTTTTAAATTAAATTATACTTATAAATATTATTACCATGTGAGGACCTCTTCACACCTTTCTAAAATTAACATGGTTCACAATGGGTCAATAGTGAAATTAAGGCATGCATCAGCCATAACCATATGTAAATGGTAGATCCATTGTCTATAATTAATACACAAATACATCTATAATGCATCATTTCCTTTCTTCGTTAAGCTAACATTGATGATAAGATAATGTGAATATTATAGTTGTGGTACCATGTAACAAACATGACTCATTTTATAGACATGTATTCAAGGCTTTACATCTACCAGGACCACTACTTCATAAGGGCTACATTCAGACAATCCCAATGTGTTACAAAGCCAACCATAAAACCCCTTCTCAAAGTCACATACATCTTTCCACCAGTTAGCAGCACTGAATGTAAGTTGGACTATGCCAGCATACAGCCCAACACCGACGGTGAACAGGACTATGAGAAAGGGGTAAGACAAAATGACAATTGGAGAAAGCACTACTTTTTTGATGCAGCTTACATTCTCGGTAACATGTGAGAAAATATTATACCAAGCCATTGTACCTATATAAAATGAGTAGATGGCCGAAATACATGTCACAATAGGTATGCAAATAAGGCTAAAGATAAATATGTGAGGGCCGTTGTATGGAGAACATTTTGATATGTCCATTTTGTTGTATTCTTCAGCAACAATAGCTGCCTCAATAATCTCCAGCTCTTCTCTAGATATGTTCAACTTCACATCAACATTTTGCCCTTTCTTCTTGCCTCTTTTGATTGTTCCAGTCATGGTCAAGTAGCCATCTTTGCAGCTTTCTGCCAGAGAACATTCTGGGGATATAGATCCTTCAGATTCTACACGCAAAGCTGTAATTTCAGTATCAGTGTTTTCTGACTCCACTATCCCAGGAACAATATTTACTCGTTTTTTCTTTTTGGCACTGTTTTTCAGGCTATCTGTCATGTTGCCCATTTCAAAGCTGTTTTCAGATTGTGTTTGGGACAAACTATTTGGAGTAGCAGATGAGCTTTCATTTTGGTCCAAGTTCAGCACTTTGCAGCTTTTCTGCATGTCACTTTCATTAGTTTCTCTTAAATCTCCATGGCTTGAACAAGCATCTGAAGAATTTTCATAAATGGGAGAAAGGTCTATAATTTCTCGGCTACTGTTAATAGTTGAAAGAGCTTGATAGCCATTCTTCTGAACACCATTTTGAGTGTCTGACTCTCCATTGCTTTCATTTCCATCTTCATCATTGACATCATTTATTATCGGTAGATTAATTTTCATATTGGATTTAAGACCTTCCATGGTGGAATGTATTATGCCATTCACAACATGTTCTGAGACTGGTGATAGTCCATTTTTATATTTGGACTGCACTTCATCTGTAGCTCCCTGTGAAAATTTGATATTTGTTTCAATAAATGAAAATTGAAATAATTATTACACATTAACAAGTGATCTTCACTTGTTAATGTTTAAGAGTTGGTGGGTGTTTTAAGAAAGTGTGTGTAAAGAATATAATTGTTTTAAATTTGTGTGGAGAACAAAATATTATTTTTATCTATTACTTTAATTAATTGAAATATAAACATAGATTGTAAAAAAAATTTAGTAAAATTGAATTTCAATTATTTTTCATTAAGTTAAAAATTGATATGGAAAGATAGTGACTACAATTTTTTTAAGAAAATATGTTTAATGAAGGAATGGTTTCAAATAATTGTTAATTTATTTTTTAATATAACTATTAAATGAAGATTGTTGTGTTGTAAGTTTTAACTCACTTTATTGTAAATGATTTTCTTAATCATGGTTATAACTAACTTCTGTTAATTTGTTTGTAAGGATCGCCTTATAAATATAGATCCTAGGGTAAAGTAATTTTGAGAAAAATATTATTATTTCTATACAATTAATATTTTCTTTTGATATTTGTTTACAGAAATATATAAAAAATGCTAGTTCTCATTTTTTGTCTTGCACTCTTGTAGCAAGTGCAAGAACTTAGCACAGACAATGAGAACAACTTAGTGTTGTTTATAAACAAATAGAGATGACTATAGAAATTCGGATTTGTATACAGGTTAAAATGGCTTATAGCTGGTATTAGTCTTACCTGGACAGTTATAATATGATCTACATGACTGGCAATAGAATTCTGCTTTTTCCCATTTCGCTTCTTCGGTAATATGAATATGGGTTGTTCCACCTTAGCCATAGTAGTATAGAGTTTACAGAGTAGAAATACGCAATAAAATCAGCTCAGACCTTTGGAAATGTTTTTTAAACTAACCGACTAACAAAAATAACAAACACAACCGGCCATTATAGTCATACTAGTTAAAAATGTACATGCACAATTCTGATGTTATGTTTAGGTAACTACATTTTACACTTGGTCGTATTGTAACCACGCCGACCGCGTTCCAGAGAACTACTTTAACGCAAAAAAAACTTAGTTTTAAAATATTAATAAATTCAAAAATGGAGAAAATATTTCTTTTAGTAGCCGAGTAAAATCAAACACACCTAAAATGAAGGGAAATAAGTCATACGTACTGTGTAATTTTATATTAAACTTTTACCCTACACCACATACTTTTACCTAATTCTGATCTTCACTTCGAACTCAATCGCACTGGAACAGCTGGACAGATCTGGGTGAAATTTAGGCCAGAAATAAATTATAGTCCAGAATACTTAGGTTACTCCTCAAGAAAAACTAATTGACAAAATCGCTATTAACGCGAGCGGAGCCGGCGGTAAAAGCTAGCTTAAACTAAATGTCAAATATTGTCAAAGGTAATCTTTTGAAGCTTAATTTTGACAGTAGCACTCAAAACAAGAACCTATATGCAAAAGCGATAAATATTAATGAAGTTTTGTATTAATTTCGTATAAGCTGAACTACTCACACATTTATAAATATGTTGAAGGTGATTTACAACTTAAATAATGTGTTTTCATTCACAAATATCGCATTGTAAACATAACCTAAAACATTTCAGGGTATGGTTAGCTTAGTGACGGGAGGAGCTTCAGGCCTTGGTAGAGCTACAGTAGAGAGACTTGTTAAGAATGGCGGCAAGGTAGTAATTTTTGATATTCAAAAAACAAGAGCTCAGAAAGTTGCTGAAGAACTTGGAGACGATGTTGTTGTGACGAACGGTTGTGTAAGTTTCTTGCTTTATTGCTACTATATAGTAGACTTGTTTTTTTAATCTTTATTTACGGAGGTTGCCACAATTATGACTATGTCGCTCCATCATAGCCAATGTTGTTTTAAACTAAACTTAAATATTCAAAATACAAAATAAATAGCATTAGCTGTTTCTGTCAAAGGACTGGCCAGGATGCTGCTACATCTGCCAATGTCCATCAACTCATCACTAAGCAGGCGTACTCTAGTTTGTTGGTTCTGAACACATTCCATCAAAACATGTTCTACCATAGATTTCACAATTTGGCGTAGATGATAAACCCATTAGAAAGGTGAACTTTCTGCATGGGTGTGTCCAAAGCGTAACTTCATAGCCGTTATCAATCCAAGGGCTAGCCAACGGTTCAGGTTGTATAGTTTTATACCAGATACCCTTTTTGTTTGATCTCTAATCAAAATATTCTTTCCAGGATTTCAAAAAGTAGGTATTCTTTTACAAGATATAGGCAGTCTGAAAAGTATCATGGAAATTATTGCTATTTTAAAATCATATTTATTTGATGAAATGATTGGGTTTAGTCATAGCGATTTTACATGTGATTGTGATTTCGTCATAGATAAAGATAAATGCCATTAAAATCAATCAAAATTCTGTTTATAAAAGATTACGTTTTTTGTAGGTTTAGACCTTTTGTGAGTCTTGTAATAATAATATAATAATAATAAAGGCGTAATAATAATAATAAGTCATAGTGGTTTTGTAAATCAGTTGCAGGTGTGATTATATGATTTATCAAAAAATCTACTAAAATTATAAAGAGGTAAAGTTTGTGAGTTTGTATGTTAGGGGTAAGCTGCAGTACTACTGATCTGATTTTGAAAATTCTTATACTTTTAGAAAGTTATATTATCTCGTAGTGTTATAAACTATGTTTTAGTGCTATAACCAACAAATATGTGGGTGGAGCTGCAGGCTAGCTAGTAGTGAAGTAAAGAAAGTAGTTAATAAATTAGTACAACTGTCTTCACTTCATCTTTAACTCACTATATTACAGAAAATCTTTAATAGCAGAAAGGGCTTTGACAGAATCAAAGTCTGATTAATATTGGTGGATTATTTGTTGGTGTTAATATTTCATTTTTTGATGGCATAGGTGGCAAACAAGCAAGCTTATGTTACACCAATTTTGTTTTATTGCATATTTATCTGACTGAATCATAAAAATATTATATATATATATATATATATATATATATATATATATACTTGACAGGTAACATCAGAAGAAGATGTCAAGAAAGCACTAAAAGTAGTATCAGACAAGTATGGTCGCCTGGACACGTTAGTCAATTGTGCAGGACAGTCCACAGCATACCAAATATACAATTTCCAGAAAGATATGGCATGTCAGCTAGAGCATTTTAGTCGACTCGTAAATGTAAGTTATATTTTAGAAAATAAATTTAAAGGTTAAATACACCTACCTGAGTTAATTTAGAAATAGACCTAAAATATATATTGTTTAAACTCCAGGCCGCCAGGCAGCTTACCACTACAGCTGTGGGTCCGATCCCCACATGGCACGACACTTTGTGCGATCCACAGATTGTTGTTCTGAGTCTGCGTGTTCTTTGTGTCCATTTCATGTATGTTTGTAAAGTCCCCCGCGACACAGGATATAGTAATTCCTAACAGCGGGAGTTGCCTTTAAAAAAAATAAAACTAACCAATAAACTTTCCCATTCCATGATATATAAATATGTTCATACACAGGAATTAACAAGGTCACATAAAAGTTATAACATACCTTTGAATTACTTCAATACTGAGTGTGTATAGTTTAAGTAAATAGAAGTTCTTTTACTTAAATCGTCCTTGCCTAAATTAGAATTATGCTTGACCCCTTGGCATTGCGTAGAGATGTAGCATTATATCTTTTGTATCATGAGCTCCAAGGAATTTTTCAGACTTATTCTGGCTGCAGCTTTCCACAACCATTGTTCAACGCTACAAAATTTCCATTCACTTAGATATTTGGTACTCCTTCACCGTGCGCTTTTCATAAAACTTTGGCAAGCTAACAACTTGTGGAACTAATTGCCGTCTGCGCTCTTGCTGGACCGCTACCACCTTAAAGCCTTCAAAAATGGAGTTTACTCCTCAAAGGCCAGCAACCCACTTGTGACTCTTTAGTTTCCTTAAGAGTGGAGGAGCAACTTACCAGGTGGCCTGCCTGCTCGTCTGCCATCTATTAGAGAAAAAAATAAATAATATGTTATATTTCTAGGTAAACACAGTAGGTACATTCAACGTCATACGATTATCAGCTGGTCTAATAGGCAAGAATGCACCCGATAAGAATGGTCAAAGAGGAGTCATAGTTAATACAGCTTCAACAATTGCTTACGAAGGAGACATAGGACAAGCAGCATATGCAGCTTCGACAGCAGCTATAATTGGCATGACATTACCCTTAGCGAGGGATTTATCATCACAGGGCATCCGGGTGATGACCATTGCCCCAGGTGAGACCCATTTACACTGTATTTTGCATTTTTTGTATCTTCCCCATGGCCGACGTTGCTGTAACTGAATTGGTCCGTAGCATGCCTACAAATATATATAAAATGGACATAATCCAGTAGTTAGCCCTCTAGAAGCTATTATTTCCCAAAAATTAATGCATCAAGGGAGAAGAAACTCTATCACCCTGCATACAGCACTGCGATTTCAGAGTCATGTTGCTGTGGGTAGAGTTGCACAGGAGTCATGGACATTACGCGATGCTTTATGTTCTAATTATTTGTGTGACGAGTACAATAACTGTCGTTGTACCTCATATCTTTAAGATCAAATTGTGTTGACGACACTGTATAAATAGTATGACTTCCGGGCCTATAGTGATATAACAAAAAAGTAATATTTAAGTATAGAAAATAACTTAGATGGTGTATCACATTGTAGATGTTTAGGATCCTGGGTAACAGATTGTTATGTTTTTTCTGCTATATTCGGTAGAAATTTGATCACGTATTGGGCTATTTTTATTTCAAAAGTTTGTTCCTTAAATTAGCGTAGAGTAACTACTACACTTTTAATCTTCTGACTGAGTAGAGTATCAATCATCTTTCTAATCCCCCAACCTTTTTTTCAAATGGCCAAACGTCTTTTCTTATGCCAAACCTCTCTCCTTGGTACTGCAATCGTTTTCAGATGGGACACAAGAAGGCAAATCGTCACAGCGTATTAAGAATCTAATTTTTTTACTATATTTTTCTTTGCAGGTGTATTCGACACTCCTCTAGTCCAATACCTACCACAGAAGATGCTTGACTTTCTAAAGCGAATGACACCATTTCCTTCAAGGCTCGGCAAACCAGACGAATTTGCTCACTTAGTGACCAGTATAGTGGAAAACCCAATGTTGAACGGAGAAGTGATAAGATTAGATGGTGCGCAAAGATGGTTCCCCTTGTAGTGTATATATTAGTTGTTAATAAATTGTAGGTTATTATGAGTTGACATTGTTTTTTATTAATAACTGTTTTGTTTGAGAAGCGGCAGAAGCCTAGAAAAGAAAGAAACTTAAAACCTTTTTACCTTTAATTTACGTATTTTAATTATGATGAGGTTCAAACAAAAACATAATAGGGCTTTTTGAATGTATTCAATAGATCTTGATTAATCGAAGAATTTCGAATTAATCGAAAGATTGAGATTAATTTTCAAAGTAACTGAACCATCAGTCCAGGGCAGCAGCCAGGTTATGTTCTTAATTAGAAAAGAGTTTCACAATTTAATAAAGGTTTTTCATAATTAACTTAAGAACAGTCTAGCATAAGACAATGCGTATATCAAATTTCGTATATGCAGGTATGATTCACAGTTTAAGACTTCCCTCGTTGGTGCCAATCCTTGGCCGAGCAGACAAGACGTGGTGAACTTTAGATAAGATACTCAAAATATAGTAGGGATGTATATATGTAGACTTTCGTGTCTGTATGAATTACTGTTGAGGATTTCCTGGAGTCAATGCTAAAAGCAGAATTAGTTCATGTTCATCATACGTAATACATAGTGTCACCACCCCTATTCATCACGTGGGTGTCCTAAGAGCCGACTGAGGGAACAAACAACGCAGGACAACAGCACTGCAAAGATAAGGAAAACTTGACACAAACCCTTTACCAACCGGTCTGGCCAGCGTGGTATAGTAGGCCAAAACCTCCTTTCTTAGGAGAGCCTTATGTCCAGCAGTGGACTGTTAAAGGCTGTTGATGATGAATGAGAATCACAGAACTTCCTTCCGTAAAAGTAGTTAGGATTTTCAGAATATCGCAGGTCCCGGTGTTTTCTTTTTACTTACATTCCTGTTAACGTTCCTCCTCCGTCGAAGTTTTATGTTAAACATCACCTTATACAGTTGGGTATTACCTATATTATTGATGATCGTTTAAAAACGTTATTTGCTTTTAATTAAAATTAAAACCAAATTACACCTTACAAAAATGGTCTACTTTAAAACCTAAGGTGTGGTATTGGTATATGAACATCTCGTCGGTTTTTTTTTGTATGTTTTTATTATTTTTTTGGATCTGGCTGTCTACAAATTAATGATAAAAGTACTTACATATTCAATTTCAAGTAAATGAAATTAATAATGAATGAAAGAATGTGTAGGATTTGACGTAAAGCGGTGTGTCGGAATCGAAACCAACTAAAACCACATGGTGTGCTATACTGTGTTCTTAGTTCTTATAAGAACTTCCAGACCTAAAGAACGAGATATCTGAACCGAGTGGATTGTTTTCCGACCAGATCACTGGTCATAATTAATTATCATTAAAACCAAATTTAAGTAGGTAGTCATCGCAACTTCCGCTATTTTGAAAGGCGCCATCGAAGTGTTCCGAACCGGACACCATTCGTTATCGCCTTACACGAAACAGGTTCCACAACATCAAGACAATACTAGCACAAGCAATAACTTAATGAATGATTACATATTTATTTCAATCGATTGGTTTGTTTTCTGTAAGAAGGTTATTTATCGTCTTGTATAATAATTGAAATTATTGCTTTATATCCTGACAAAGTGACAGTTGGCATGGTTGATCGCGCATGCGCTATGGGGCGTCGACGCGCGGGTAATTCATGTGCAAGCGTAGTTGTGGCCTATGGTCAAGAATTGCATTGGAACAAAATACTTATTTAGAAATGTGTGTGGTGTAAATTCTGAACCATTAGTTACAAAATTGTATTTGAAGGTGGTAAGACATAACAGATTTATGGAGGCATAATAAAGAAAAAGGTAATTAATAAAAAGGAAGTAAGGACAATGGGAGTAGATAACTTGTTCTGCTTTAGTTTAAGCAGTACCGGCTTTAGGAGGGAGGGTGGACGGGTGACTGGCTTGATACCCCAGGGCGCCGAGGCCCAGAGACTCCGCACGTCTGTCTAAAGGAGATAAACAATGATCTAAACATGCTCTAAAATAAATGTTACTATTTCTTTCTATCTTCACAATATTTTTATTCGTTTTTGTTAAATAGCTAACTTATAAACTTTAATCTATACTAATATTATAAAGCTGAAGAGTTTGTTTGTTTGTTTGTTTGTTTGTTTGTTTGTTTGAACGCGCTAATCTCAGGAACTACTGGTCCGATTCGAAAAATTCTTTCAGTGTTAGATAGCCCATTTATCGAGGAAGGCTATAGGCTATATATCATCACGCTAAGACCAATAGGAGCGGAGCAGCAATGAAGAATGTTTCAAAAACCGTGAAAATTTATTACTCTTGAGAGACGCAGACGAAGTTGCGCGGGTCAGCTAGTATTTTCTAAACGTCTAGACATTGCATCTAAATCCTTGGCGATCAATACTCATAGTTGTTTTATGATAGCCGACAAGGCCTTGGCCGTGAAGACTTTGAAGGCCCTAATAAGAAAACATAAGCCTCGTCGGTAAATTAATTAAGTTAAAATTTACCAGTATCTACTTAAATAAGGTTTCTTTATTAAAAACCATGAGATTTCTTAAAATTGTTAGCACTTTATGTTATTTACGGAGTACGGAATTTAATATACCTCACATCAACAGCCTTTACTAGTCCACTGCTGAACATAGGCCTCTCCTTAGAAAGGAGGTTTTGAACTACTATACCACGCCGGCCAGACGGGTTGGTATAGGGTTTGTTACAAGTGTTCCTTCTCTCTGCAGTGCTGTAGTCCTGCGTAGTTTAGTTCCTTAGTCGCCTATTACGACACCCACGGAATGAATAGGGGTGGTGACACTCTGTATTCTTAATCCATCACCACACGGACAATATACCTACGACATTTATATTTGAGTAAACTTTTTTGTTAGTTAATTAAGTCTCATTCTATTGTCAAAGCCTATTGGATGACTATCCTGATTTTTGAAATTTCTAATTTGCACAATTATATTTTTATATGAATAGGCTATTGTGCTAATTCATGTACTTACATTATCTATAAAGCACAAATAAACAGATCTCAAAGTATCAATTTTTTAATCGATTCTATATCGATATCAGAATGTGCACAGATTATTTACACATCTATTAGGAATAAAAAAAAAGAAAAAAGCCAACATTGAATAAAAATACATAGGTGCTCATGACAACACATAAACATAATCAAAGGGCAAAATCAAAGTCACAATTACGTTAATTGTGACCCTTTGAGTTGCAGGAGTCAGGCAGTGGTAGCCACTTACCATCAGGTGAACCGTCTGTTCATTTGCCACCCCAATACCATAAAAAAAGAAAAAATAATAATCGCAAACTTATGCCACGTTATTATATTGAGCATATACAATTCAAAAGTTCAACAATTTTTCCTGACATAATTTTGGTGTACATCGACCAAAAAATGAATAAAAACTTACGAAGAACATTGAAGAAACTTACTTTCCAAAGGAATTGAGGATTTCTAAAGGCTTTCTTATTTCGTGTTTATAACTTTGAAAATGATACAACCGTTCATCCTGTATTTTTTTTTTCGGGTGAAATTTCTAAAAATCCTTTCCTAGCCTACAACATAAAAGCATCAGCTGTCAAAATGACAAGTTCGTAGCCTCCAGCGATTTAGGCTCTCCATTGATGAGTCAGTCAGTCAGGGCGAGTAACTTTAAATGTGTGGATAACATACATTTTACAGCGCTAACTTGGACCAGAAATTGGGCAATAAACAATACGCGACATAAGCCCTAAATGATGCGTTGTTTAATCGGACATATTTTATGCTTGATAAATAAATAATTACTTTTAATAGGTACTCCCTCGGCTGTCGTATCAAATGTTCCCGTTCGGGTATCTGTTCCATTTCTCTGTACTGGTTAATCCCCTATTTTAGTATACTATAGCATAGATGGGTTGATTTTCAACCATAAAATAATAATAATTTGAGACTTCTCACACACAGCCGATTCATAACTAGGCAGACCCCGGAATCGAACCGAGTAAAACCATACGGAGTATCAATCAATCTTAGGACAAGGTTGTCAAAACCGAAAGGAGATGCTGGAGGGTCTCGATCGTGTTTCGGCCGCCCTTATCGCCCATAACGCGCGGTGCGATAAAAGTTCCGCATATTCGGCCCGTCCTTTCGTAGACTCTCCGAGCCCAGCTTTCTACAGGAAGATGTTGAGTGAGGGCATTTACCCACAATCCAATTTGGGTGCATCCAGGCAGCGTCGCAACAAAACGGATGTACACGGGGGTGGTATCTTGTTTATCTGTAACTAAAATGCAAACTAGAAGTCTTCATGGCCGCGGAGAAGCTCTGTGGAACCGAGGTGGAACTAAAAGGTGGAATAAAAGAAAACTCGTTTTCTGATAACCGATAGAGCGTAATTTAATTGGCTGATATATCTCAATGATTAGTATAACACTCGTAAATAGTATATTGCTAAGAATACTATACACTTCTTGTATTTATGTTCTCTATACTTACAACGCAGTACTGATCTTATATCTTTTAATAAATAACTGTAAACCTTTACTTAGGACATCAAGACAAAAAGAAAAAAGAAAAAAATAGAGAAATTGTTTAACAAACAGACTAGAATAAATGGCGGATTGCTTTAATTTTCCATTTAAAAACTCGGAAAAGTCTATTTTTAAAACGAAATCGTTTTAAAGATAAGTTAAACTTTAAAGCAAAATTGCGAATACATCGATTAAATCGTCACTCAGCCAATAGTACAGGAAAAAAAGAGACAGGCTATAAAATTTTATTACATCCGTTTATATAAATAATAATCAAATAACAGCCTCTATTGTGCCAAGGCTTATAAATTGAACGAGGAATTCAAATGCAGTCGTTACCAAATCGTATCTGTTTACAATTAAGATCTTTATCCACTGGCACGTAGCATATTATTTGGTTTTCGTTTCGTTCGTAATGAAAGTTAATAATATAAATAAATAGATCAAAGTTTATAAATACAAATACA